AATTCTGATAAGTCAATTAATTAAACACTTGTCCAAATGGACAAGTTAGTAAGTCCTCTTCTTGAGAGTAGTGATGACGTTCCTCATTTGGAAAACAATCGTGTTTCTCCAATGGAAAAATCTTTTTTTTTTTTTTTTTTTTCAATAGTACCAGAAGTACTCATTTGATTGCTGTAATGAAGAATCTAAATCCATAACGAATGACAATATGATGATAATCTTCAGCACATTTTATTGCACATTAAGATCTATGAAAATTTTCAGGACCGTCATGAACACAGATGCTGACACAATGGTCAGACAAGTGGTAGGGTCAGACAGGCTATCAAATCTAATGCCAGATGTTTCAGTGAAAGAAAAAAGAAGGGTAGATTGATGTAGTATATGCAGGCCTTTATATTTATTTTCAGATTGGTCTTTAATGGCTAGAAATTTGCTTTGGCTTGGGGACATGAACTTTATTACCCCTTTTTGGTCTCCTTGGCTAAAATTAATTCACTATTTAGCCAGTGGAATTATACTGAAGAAGGTTTGTTTGTTCGTTTGTTTGTTTTGTTTTCCTTAGACTTGTTGGCCTAGTGAGATAAACAAAACAAAACAAAAAAGTGGTTCTCTAAATTTAAAAGTATGTGCCTACATTTGAACATATGAGTTTTGGGGAGGAGATGCAAGGGGAAACAGCTTTAGGCTGTCACATCCAAGTACTCTGACCTAGGTTCCACAGTTTAAATGCTGAAGATTTCCACCTGCTGTTATTAAAAAGAGATACAACTCTTTTGTTCAGCATGAGGCTGTAACATGTAAAAGGTCAGGAGTAATGAAGAAAAACGATGGCATTCCGCCATACGGGGAAAAATACTTTCCCAGTACTAGAGATCCAAAGACATTCCTTGCCTCTTGATCAAAATCAAAAAAAAAAAAAAAAGACAATAAAGAACTTTTTATAGTATCTCATTCTGAATAACTTTTTTTTTTCTTTTTTTTTTCTTTATAGGATTTCTTAATGAAACTACTGTCAGATTAGGATTGCATTAAAAAAAAAAAAAAGACATCTTAAGATACTAACACGTTGAGCCAGGGTAGATATTGTTGGTTTGAACATAGTTAAAATAATCAATGATGTGACTTACCCATAAAAAATGCTGTTTTTCCTTACTAATCTACTTCACCATACACCCTGAGCTACAGTCATTCCCCAGGAAGAATTACTATTATGTCCTATGAGACTACTGACTCTTGAATGCCTATCTAGTATAGCATTTCAGTAGGCACATCTCTAAGTACCTTGTGATCCAAAGGCAGGAGATCCCTTCTCAATGATAAATCTCCCTCAGAAGAATAAACATATCACTTGTCTCCTCTCCACTTGTCTGCTGTATGACACAATTATTGGGAAAATTATATTAATCTAGACATTACTTAGCTGTTCATTTGAATTCTTTGCTTCTGCCCTTAAAGTGTTGAGTTCTGGAAAGTGTGAATAAGAAAGGTGAAACTTTGGGGAGCTTGTGCTGATGAAGCTGCTTCACACTGATTAACGATGTGAAGATACTAGGGCTACAGGCATATGTTCTTTGCAGCAACTGTCTTTTTTTTTTTTTTTTCCCATCCAGCTTGTTGCAAATTGCTGGATCATCTTTTCGCTTCCTTACAGGAGATGGTAATATTCTGCCACAGAAAAGAAGTATGGAGTTTCCCAAAGGAATTATTGGAGTATTTTTTTCTTCCAAATATTTTCTGCTCCTCGTCTCTCGTGACTTGCATTTTCAGACTGGATGATTTAAGCTCTATTTGTAGTTACATACATCTGACACACCAAAATCTCTACTGTTTTCTTTTGGAGACCACAAAAGACGCTAAACTGAGTCAAGCTGGTCCATGTAGAAGCCTATGTTCTCATGCACATCTAGAGGTAGAAGTAAAGTAAGCTGATATTTTTCATCCTGAAACATTTGTATTTGTGGTTTTCTTACTATTCTCTTTTCATTTGTACTAGCTTCATTGACACTATATTTAAAATATCCAGCATCTGCCATACTTTTCAAAGGAGTGCAGTTCAAAAGAAAATGGAATAGAGTATTTCCAAAGAGAAGGACCGATAGTATTTACTTATTTACTACTACACGTTGCCTTTGCTACTGCAGTTTGGTTGGATACAGGTATGGTTAAGTTTAAGCCTCTAGGTTAAGTTTAGTTACTTCAGATCACACCTGAGTGGGGGGAAGGGAGAAAGGAAAATATACACATTGCTTCTTCTTTTTTATGTGATGAAAAGATTAATATTTTGTATTTTAACTGAATGGTTGGAACACTTTATTTTTATTCCTCACTTACTCCTGTGCAATTTTTCACCCTCATGAATTTTCTGTCAGTTGCTCTCACCCAAACACCTTTGCAACACCTTCTAATTTTGAAAATATTCCAGCCTTCACAAGCTTAATAAAGCACACTGTAATGTTCAGGAAGCAGAATAAACACTTTATTCTGCCTGCACATAAGTAACGATGATCTCAGAATGTACTGTGCTGCACAGAATCTTGGTACTCGGGAAAAGTGGATACATTCATACATCACAAACTGTAGAATTTACCTTCTTATGAAGATATTTGCAGTAATATGTGGGAATGGAAAAAAAAAGTAAGAAAAATCAAAGGTCAAAAACATAAAAAGGATAGACTGAGTACAAAAAGGTACATGGAGAAGAAAGATAATTTCAAATTGATGAGGAGTGTTAATGTCAGAATGTTTAATTTTTCTCTTGCATTAAGCAATATTGTAAGATAATAATAGAAACTTCAATATTGCATTAAGCAATATAGTAGGATAATAATAGAAACTTTACAGACATTAGTGAGGGTATACTTAGTCGGAAATTTAACTAATACTCACAAGTGATCTACTGAAGCTGGAGGGAAAAAAAAAAAAAAAAAAAAAACACTCGTAGGAGATATTTCACTTGCTCTGC